AATATATAATTTCTTGTATACTGCGATATTTGTAGCAACAAAATTATACTAACTTAATATCACTTAATGATATTATTTCCATCAAATAAAATTTAATTTATATTAGACTAACTGTTGGTTAAATATTCCGATAGCTTAACTTTATAATGTGTGTGTGTGCGTACGCCTTGTTCAATGGGACAGACGGAGTATATATGTACTTAGGCAGCTTTAACCTTTGGATTAGCCGCTTTAACTTTTTTTTTCTCGTAACTGTTACTCTGTTACTTTTTTCTGCTTTATTAGTATATAAACCTAGATTGCTGTTTTTTAAATAAAAGGCAAAGGAGTATGAGCTAAGCCGTGATACATGTACTTGAAAATCAATTTTATTAACAGAGATCTAAAAATGTTTGATTTAATTAGTTGGAAGTTATAGAAAATCAAAATTCAGTTACAGTTTGACGCATCAGCGTTCGTAAAAATTCTGTAGAAAATAGTTATGTACATATATAAATATTTTCCTATGATTTTTGAAGTTTAAAATTTCCAAATCATACAACTAAATCCAGCCGACCCATGGAGATAACATGTGAGTTGCGAGCTATGATCAGCTCATAATGATAGAGGTGGAGCTATAACAAAATGAAGGGTACCACTCGTTTATTTTCATCATATATATATGTCTTTATTTTACTTTTAACCGAGTTAAATATCTAAGCTTACACTAAAGACATATATGTACGGTGAAAATAGATAAATTATAACTAAAATATTTTCTCCTCAGATTGGTGAGCACCCTCTGTCCGCCCCTGCAAGCAGATGACGCCATGGTAGAAACGTCATGCAGCCACGCCATGTGAGCTTGCTCCCAAAAATGCAGTCGGTATATATGTGTACACCTGACAAGGAAACCAACGAAAAAGCGGCGAAAAAAAGGTGACGGCGTACGGGGCAGGCAAAGGGCAGTACTGATTTTCTTCCTGCTAGTAATAACTTACAGTATATTCATGTCACCCCTAGCTTGCCATTGGCCCCAATGATTAATTGTCATGACTTGGCAATTGAAGATGCTTCTTGGTCCTTTGAGTACCAAACGACTTCTTGACTTTTGTATGATATCACAGTAGTATGGTAGTACGAGTATGATGCAAGAGGGGTGACATCACGTTGATGTCATCCAATTAGTTAATGGTCTGATCGGTACAGTGTTTACTAGTCTCATGACTTCAGTTAATTAAGTCTTCGGTCGTTACTTCGCCTCCTCGCACGGTACACGTGGTTTCCAAAATATTTAATCTTCAAAAGAAAATATCTAGCTAAGATTTAAATATTTACTACCTCCATCTATGTTCATTTTTCACCTATACCACATATATAAAAAAAACAAAATAATTAGAATACCCTTGATTCTATCAAATCTTAATATAGTTGTCCTTACTTTATCTATTTCTAATGTATTTATCCACCATTTTTGTGAACTCTAATATAATAATTACTTAAAAAGTGAATTTATTTCAGAACAGATAGGAATTAGTAAAGATAAACTTATTTTGTAATGGAAGAGTATTATCCTAGAGTATTAACGTAGATCGATCATCTTAAAAAGAGATGAAACCAAACACATAGTACCAAGCACATAGTATCTGCTGAGCAAGGCAATTTGACCAACCGTGTACGAACCCTTCTAGATTTTAAGCCTACAATCCAAGTTCTAGAACCAGTACACTAATAAAACTTTCGACTTTTAAGTACATTCAAATATATTTATTCCAGAGAAGAATAGTACACCCTAGTTGTCAACAACATTCACAACGACTTCTATGGCGAATTGACGAGCAACAACGCGTCCTTTTCTGTATGTAAAAACGCCAGCCAAAGACTGTGATGCGGCACATGCCGCCACCGCCGGGGGAGCCCACGGTGATAGGTGCCATGTGCGTTCTTTGTGTGGTCGCGCGCGTGCAAATCAAAGAGAAAAGGCAAGCGAAATCGTGGAAAAACTTGTGGTTTTCAATAGAGTTTTCTAATTTGCCGGTCGAGAGGTGAAGTGGGAGGGAATTTGTTTTATATATCCTTCTTTACCCACCGGTACTGGTACACAGATTAATGATCTAGGATCTGTTCTTCTTTGAGTCAAGTCCATATGTATCCAGCTGTTTCTTAATAACAAAGGTAAAGTACACATCTATCCAACGTTATTTAAAGACAGGGACTCATGGTGATTGAAAACGTTGGATAGTTATAATAGTATTGAGAAATTGTCTGTTCCGTTTAACCCCACAATGATACTTGAACTTACAGAAATACAACTTAAAATATAGCGCGATGCTCCACAGGGAAAAAAAAAGTTAAAAGGTAGACTAATATTTTGTTTTACGTAGTCTCGAGAATTAAAGTTGTGTATTCTCAGTTAAACATATTGTGTAGCAGACCCAATATAACTAGTGTTCATGGTTGCTGGGCTAGGTTGCACGCTATAACGAGTGATATAAAACACGTGCTCAATGTAATCTTGGTGGCCTATGGTTGGTGGATTGCGCTGCGCACTCTAACAGGTAGTATCATATAGCTTAGCTTTGTAAGCTCGGAATAGTTTTCATAGGTCACACGAGCATGAGCCAGCTATGTTACTGTGTAGTTTAAATGCGAAATTTGTTATATCATGATTATTGTTAGTAATTATTGGTCATTTATCATGATAATGGGTGTTATCGACGGTCACGGATAACAAAAGCGAGGCGATACATATTTTGATGAATTTTGAAATTTCTTTGAAACTTGCCCTTTCCGGTAACTGACAGCGCACTCTCCCTCTCCCTCCCACGTGGCTTTTCTCTTTTAGATCATATACAATGCAAGCCACAAGCAACAGTGGTCTTAAGACGTCAAGTAGGATAGAACCACACAAAGGTCACACAACCCACAGTGAAAACGACACCAAAACGTATTTTACATTTCAGCTCCTATCTATTTATATGTCAGCCCTTGTGTTGTATGTTATTATCAAACCTATTAAAACTATATATTTTGGACCTTACAACAACCAAAATAAATACATATGCACCCTAGACACTATGCGGACCCACTGTCAGCCTCTTCCCCTCACTTTTTTACTCTCTCCCTCTCTCCCCTCTCTCTCCCGAGCCATTTCTCTCCCCCTCTCTCCCGAGCCACCTCTCTCTCCCCCCTCTCTCATTCTCCGGCGAGCTCTCCATCTCGGCGGCGGATCCGGGTTCTCGGCGGCGGATCCGGACGCAGGCTCAATGCCGCCGTCCTCCTCCCCCCACGACGGTGCGGACAAGCTCGCCAACGGCGTGGCGAGCTTGGCGGCGGCGGGCTCGCCGAATCTGGCGATGGGGGCCACAACGCAGTGGATCCGGACGCGGCCTCGACGCCGTCGTCCTGCTCCCCCCACGACAGCACGGACGAGCTCGCCGACGGCGTGGCGAGCTTGGCGGCGGCAGGCTTGCCGGATCCGGGCACGGGCTCGCCGGATCCTGCGGCGGGGAACAGCGGTGGCGACGGATCTAACGACGACAAGAAAGACGGCGAAGCGGTGGCGGGGAGTAGCGACAACGACTGCGGTGGATCTGGCGAGGCGACGACGACCACAACGAGATGGAGATTTGGGGTAGGTGCACGGGGTGACCGGACGAGGTGACGCGCGGGGCTTCGACTCCTCCAACGCGAGGCTTCGCGGCTCCTGAGCCCAGGCGCGACGCTTGCACCGGTTCCTCTTCAAGCTCGCTGACAGCCTGCGAGACCACCCAATCCCGTGCCATCTCGGCTCGGCTCCGACGTAGAGGTTTGAGATCACAGGCCAGGATCACGCGTTGTGCATGGTCTTATGTCATTCAAATGGGCGATGCCCTAGCCGAGTTACATGTTGTTGGTCCGAGTAGCAAACTTGTCCTTTTCTATATAGTTTCTGCCTCGATTTGGCTATAAAATAATATCTTTAATGTCATGTAAGTAAATTATCAGTTTTGGAGTTGTGTCCTGTTTTTTTTTTTAATGTTTAGGAGGAAATACCACATACTTAAGTGTCTTATAGGTAATTTTGCGATAACAGAAATAGAAGACTATGGTAAAATAAATGTCTTGTACAGTTGTACTACAGTTCCGTATATTGACAGGTGTAGCGTGTTCGACCATACTAGGCTCTCAAAATTTAGGGGCCTAAATTTTAGATTTCAATTCCATGAAAGGCATTTTAATATGTCTTAGAATATTATAATTTGTTTTAAAAGTTTCACTCATCTTCCTTTATCGATCTAAACAAGAACATGCTTTTTTTTTTTTACTTTGGTAAGTATTTGTGATAATCATGGCGATGATGTGAACACGCGTGCCGAACGTAAAACTATCATTTTTTTTACTTAGTAAAGACAACAAAACCATCCGTGGGTATTAAGAGCAAGTACAATTGTAAAGATATAGCTTAGCTACAAGCACATATGAAAAAGGAAGAAAAAAACAGACCATAAATTTGTAGTGTGAGAGATGAGCCAAGTATTAATGATTCAATGTATAGTAGACTATTAAAGTGACTGTAGATGATGTATTAATTTTGAAAGGTAGCAGTGGGTTACTTGACTATATTATCAAACTTGCTCTAACACTGCGGTCTTCAATTTATAAGTAATTAAGTACGGCCCTGGTAATTCTCACAATCTCACCTAGCCAATCTCTCCACACACCCTTGAGGCCTTGACGTAGACCCCTGAATCAACCCAAGTGGAAAAACTATCAACAGTCCATTAGCTGAACTGAACTGAAACTGCTAACCAGTAACTAACCTCCTCACACCTCCCAATCTCGTCCACAGCATACACACGTCTACGCATGACGTACGCTTCGTGACGTAAGGCCTCATGCCCTATACGCGATTCGTGACGTGCGCTCCGTGACGTCGTCTTGACCGGGGCGGGACGACGCCACGCGCGCGTGGCGCGTCCTTGTCATGGCGGGCGTCGACAGCCAGCTCGCGCGCGCCCCCGTTTTTCCCACTCAATTGCGTTACAGTTTTCTCCCACAGATCCATGCAAATTAAAGATCACACGGTCTCGTTCTCGCCGCCTATATGTAGCGCCACCGATTCCCCATGAACCATTCAAGTGTTTGTACTTGGCTTTGCTGGCCTGTTTCTGTTTTGATTACTCGAGCTCCAGAGCACAGCAGCAGAGAGACGCGAGCTGTTCGTGGTCGTCGTCGTCGTCGATGGACGCGGCGTGGCGCGGCGGCGTTGGCTGCTCGCCGGTCTGCCTCGACCTCTGCGTCGGGCTGTCGCCGGTGCGGGAGCCGTCGGCGGCGAGGCACGAGCTGCTTGACCGGCCGGCCGGCTGCCGCGGCGGTGGGGATTCCAAGTCGATGACCAATGACGAGGTGAGGTGTTCTTGATTGATTGATTGATTGATTGATTGATTGATTGATCGGTTGATTGCTCCCGCGGATTCGGTTCTTGCTTGGTTTTGATCGTTGGAAATGTGGGGGGATTCCTTCAGGCGAAGATCGTCGAGGCGAAGGTCACTCAGATGAGCGAGGAGAATCGGCGGCTGACCGAGGTGATCGCCCGCCTGTACGGCGGCCAAATCCCGCGGCTCGGCCTCGACGGCTCGGCCTCGCCGCCGCGGCCGGTGTCGCCGTTATCGGGCAAGAAGAGGAGCAGGGAGAGCATGGAGACGGCGAATTCCTGCGACGCCAACAGCAACAGGCATCAGGGCGGCGACGCCGACCACGCCGAGAGCTTCGCCGCCGACGATGGCACCTGCCGGAGGATCAAGGTCAGCCGGGTGTGCAGGCGGATCGACCCGTCGGACACCTCCCTGGTGGTCAAGGACGGGTACCAATGGCGGAAGTACGGGCAGAAGGTGACGCGCGACAACCCGTCGCCGAGGGCCTACTTCCGGTGCGCCTTCGCGCCATCGTGCCCGGTGAAGAAGAAGGTGCAGCGGAGCGCGGAGGACAGCTCGCTGCTGGTGGCGACGTACGAGGGCGAGCACAACCACCCGCACCCGTCTCCGCGCGCCGGCGAGCTCCCGGCGGCGGCGGGGGGGGCCGGTGGCTCGCTGCCGTGCTCCATCTCCATCAACTCCTCCGGCCCGACCATCACGCTCGACCTCACCAAGAACGGGGGAGCCGTGCAGGTGGTCGAGGCGGCGCATCCGCCGCCGCCGCCGGACCTCAAGGAGGTGTGCCGGGAGGTCGCGTCGCCGGAGTTCCGGACCGCGCTGGTGGAGCAGATGGCCAGCGCGCTCACCAGCGACCCCAAGTTCACCGGCGCGCTCGCCGCGGCGATCCTCCAGAAGCTGCCCGAATTCTAGCTTCCTTTACAATTCTCCAATTCTTCTTACAGGAAAAAACATAGAGGCGCATTTCAATAGAGATTAGAGCTTAATCTCCCCCCAAATTTGAAAATTTTATACAGGGTAAGAATTCCGAATGCTTTTCTGCTGCTTTTAGGATGTGAATTGTACTCTCTCATAATAACCTGTTGGTCCTTGGGCCGTCGGAAGAAGATTGCGGGCTTCTATCGGGCCTCACGATCCTGAGCCCAATTGCGAGGCTCCTTGAGCTTATTAGGCCTCATGTTCTTCTTTATCTCTTTGGGCTGCAAGGTCCTCGTTATGCGCTTGTGGGCTTATTGGGCCGCAATGTCATCGGAGGGATTGTTGGGCCGAACACTCCTTATGTGGGAGCTCAGCCCACCCGGCCCAACTTAAAACCATTATGTCCAAAGCGTGACCACCAAAATCTAAATGCCTGGTTAGCATTTCACAAACCGAAGAAAGTACCAGATTCAGTATTCATAGTAGTTTAATTTAAATAAAATACCATGATAAATACCCTAGTCCTGCACAGCAGATCGGATTTCAATCACCAGAGCAGCCAATCAGTAAAATTCTAAGGGCAAGGGCAGCACAAATGCTCGACAAACAGACATAAGCATCGAAAAGACAATAAATGCTTGAGCATACACCAGACAGCTACATATATTAGACATCAAAGTTTTTAGATCTTCACCCCAAAATTTTTCACCCTGTCACATCGAACGTTTGAACATCTACATGAAGTATTAAATATAGGCTAAAAAATAACTAATTATACAGATTACGACTAATTTGCGAGATAAATCTTTTAAACCTAATTGCCCCATGATTTGACAATGTGATACTACAATAAATATTTGCTAATGACAGTAAATATTTGCTAATGATAGATTAATTAGGTTTAATAAATTCGTTTCGCTGTTTACTAACATATTCTGTAATTAGTTTTTTTATTCGTGCCCGAACACCCCTTACGACATCCTATATAATAAGACACCCTATATAATATCCGATGTGACACGCCAAAACTTTCTACTCCTGGATCTAAACACCCCCTTACTATCTGTAAACACGAATTTCTACCACTTCTTTTGGGACAACATAAAGTGGTTAAATACACGGTAATACATGTGGCATGAGCCATTTGCAATTTTGCACATATAAACTGAGGTGCCGCCACGGAATACATCTGGCTAGAGTCATTCGAAAAGACATGAGCCATTTGCAGTTTTGCAGATATAAACCCTAAGGTGTCGCCTGCCAGCAGCAGACTATGGGATCAGTTCTTACTCCTTCTGCAGAAGATAGTGTATCACAGCCTGCGTATAAACCAAGGGCATCATAGTAAATATCAGGCAAAAGATTAGTGAAGAACTTGATAAACTAAGGAGCAATGGCAACAGTGAAAACTTACGAGAGCATATCAAATATTTTAATAGCCTGGCTGATAGTCCAAAGAAACATATTGAAGTTTTGAACAGGCCAGAACTCATGCCACAGACAATACTTGCATGATCAATAGGCCAAGTATGGACAGATACTGACAGATACAATACATATACACAGATTTCGATCTGCACCAAATGCAACATCCTGAAAAGGGCATCATCTGCGAACCATCCATGATATATCTTTTCTGATGGGCAGTTGGGAAAATCTTGGCTATCTGCACTTCTGCAGTTTTAAAACAGCTGCTCTGTGAGCAAATGAAGACATGCATCTATCTTAAAATGCCATTCAGAATATTCCAGGGGTGCACTATAAAAACCACAGTTATCCAATTCGAAAGTTTTAGTTGTGGAGTGTCCTAGTGTGGAATTTATGTATAGTCTACAGGCAACATGTTTAAATGGTTGTACTGCACTGAATAGTGACATGATGAAACATGAACGAAAGAACTTTTACATTTGGTGCTAGGCACACCACACTAATTACTAGCAATCACAGGCATATGTTCCCAAACCCCAGGCTTGTAACTTCTGTTATAGGCAGGGACAAAGGGAACGGGTAAGGGTAGAAGACAGGGACAAAGGGAGATCACTTGTCAGCACTCGGCCCCACAGCCCCAAGGCTTGTCCTGATCACCAGGAAACTCTGATCAAGTTAAACCTAACTTCATGATTCTTTATCGGTTAATTCCCAATATGGTCCCTTTATATATAGGGAGGACTAAATTGGCATCAAGGAACTAATCTCTAACTAATCTGACCTCTATCTCTTCTTTACTAGATAATCATCTAGCTCTATTTGAGTCTAACCAAGCAGTAAGAGAACAACTACCAGTTTTCTGGACCAGTTTTACATGCAGTACATTTTGCCCCATCAATTATAACTCAAATACTTAAAGATCATTCAACATAGTATACCAGCAAGAAGTCATCCTACCTTGACTAAATTTCCAAAAGAATACCATAGTTACAGCAGACATGGCATGTAAATTTAACAGAAATATTAAACTGAGCATGCATTTAACTCTCAAGTGACATGATTGATGGAACTCATTGGAAGTTGAAACATCAATTGCAGCAAAATATATGCAACAAAATTTTTGAATTGTGTTATCTAAACGCTGTCAACCCAAAGCTCATTCAATCGCATAAAACAAACATCACAAAATACAATGAGGATCATAATGTTATAAACCATATCTCATGAATAAGAATTGGCAAAGACTATAACATGCAAATTGAAGATGGTCAACTCCTCTAGTCCAGATATTCTAAAGCGTTTTTTTTTTTGGTAAAATAAAAAAAAGATCCAACAGCGCCAACAACCAATGCACCTAATCTCATGAATAAGAATAGGCAAAGGCTAACATACAAATCGAGCACAATATGCAAATATCAAGCTGAGATGGCTAATTAATATCTTCAATAGGCCACTTACCCTGGAAAACTCAGCAGGAGGGACAATCTACTGTTTGTCCGACCAACCGTTCGTGTTCGGCAACTCCTCCCATCTCCCAGCTTCTCACACAACGCATGTCTAGCTGCAAAAACAAAACAGCAAACAGCAGTAAGTAGCAAAATATGATAAGCTAAAAGAATTGGAATAAATATGAAAATGGTAATTGATCGATAGTATAGCAATAACCTCAAGCTAATAATTGAGTTGACTTTCTGTAGGCTGTGATCTGTCATCAGTGAGTTCAATATTATCTACACTTTATTTCCCATATGGATTTCATTAGTGATGGAGTTTCAGGTCATGCGGTGGTCAACTGATTCTCTTGACCAAATATCAGGGCAGACCATGGCGCATTTTGTGGGTTTAACACCAACCTTAACCATATCAGCATAGAGCATCATCGCATTCAAGACATAGCCAAGCATGCACAGTCCACGAATCACGAGTGTGTAAGTGAATCTATCAGGCACCATACCAGAATCTCTCATACAAGAGAAGAAGTGACAGGCTTCGTTGTATTGACCATCTATATAGAGACCATATATCAAGGTCATATATGTCACACTGTTTGCAATTGAAGGGTTTTTCTCAGATTTCTTCTGCCCTGAGTATTCCATGATGAATCTGACTGCATCTTGTACCCTATTTTCTCGGCACAGACCATCTACAAGAACTGACACAGTTATTGCGTTTGAATAAATGCCTTTCTCTTCCATCTCCTTCTGTAACCAAAAAGCAGCATCCATGTCACCATTCTTGGCATGGCCATGAATCAGAGCAGTGTATGTCACGACATTAGGTTCGACCCCTTTAGCTACCATCTCTGTGTATATAGCCATTGCTATTTCCATTTCCCCATTCTTCGAGTGCCCATCTATCAAGGAGGAGTATGTCACCACATTGGGCTCTACTCCAACCTCGCTCATTCTTGTGCATGTCACGAGAGCTTCATCCAAATTTCCACTCTTGCAGTACTCATCAATCAGCACATTGTAAGCAGCCGCATTCAGTGCAATACCAGATTGTTGCATTACTTCAAGAAACCTGGTGGCAACCTGCATTTGCCCACCATCACAGAGGCCTCTTACAACTATGCTGCAGGTGAACTCATCCGGGCGCAACCCTTTGCGAATAATCTCCTGGAAAAATGCTAATGCTTCTTGTGCGTATCCAGACCTAAAAGCTCCGTGGATCAAACTGTTGTACACAGGCACAGTTGGAGCAACCTCATACCTGGGCATGTCCAGAAATATATTCTTTGCTTCGGTTATCCTGTTCGCCTGACAGAGACCGTCAATTAGAGTGGTAAAGATCACATCATTTGGAACAAGACCACACTTCAGCAAGTCGTAATAAAACACAAGCGCATGCTTGATGTTGTCTCTCTTGAAGTGGCTGCTCATCAATGCATTGTATGTGTATAGATTAGGCCGCATCCCTGCTTCCTTCATCTCAAGGAAAAGCCCCTCAGCGTCACCAATGCAGTCCTCCTCACAGAGTGCACATATCATTGTCGTATATGTGACCACATTTGGATCAATCCGTCTAGCTACCATCTGATCCCAGACCTCCCAAGCCTTCGCCACATCGCCCTGATGCCGACACGCGTTGATGAGCGTGTTGTAAGTCACCACACTCGGCACCATCCCCCGACCAAGCATTTCGTCGAACAGCTCCCATACGCGGGCGAGCATGTGCGCCTTCACGAGGCCGTCGAGGATCGCGTTGCAGGCCGGCAATGCCGGCAGCTCTCGGAGGCGGCCGAAGACGGAGAGCGCCTCGTCGGGGAGCGCCATCTGGGAGAGCGCGATGACGAGCACGCCGAGCGCGGGGGCCGGCGACGCGGAGGTGGAGGCGAGCGCCGCGGCGGCGGCGGCGCCGGCGGCGCCGGGGCGATGGCTTGGGGAGGAGGAGGCACGGACGAGGTGTTTCGTCAAACGGATGGCGTGCGCGAAGTCCCCGGACGCGGCGGAACCGTGCACGGCGGCGGCGAGGCGAGCGGCGGAGGAGGATGAGGGGGGCGGGGTGGCGGCCTGCAGCGCCGAGGCGGATGCGGAGGCGGAGAAGCGGCGGGGGAGGAGGAGGAAGCGCGGGGCGAGGGGGCGGCGGCGGAAGGAGAGGAGGTGGCGGAGCGGCGGAGAGGGCGGCATAGGGTTCGCCTTCGGGAGGGAAGGCCGCCGCAGCCCGCACGCAAAACGGCAGAGGGTAGTGCGGTCTGATCAGAAGGGCAAAACCTCAAAAGTCAAAACCTCATTAGATTTGGTCAAACGGTCGTGATAGTGGAGAATGATGGGGGCTTCCATCCTAATTATCCGCCTAATTACGCGTCTAATGATGATTAGCGTTAATCTTCGGTTAAAAAATCAAGTCTACTCATACCTATCATGATTAGCGTTTATTCGGGTATTAGGTTTGTTTTGATAATAACATTATATTTTTTTTCAAAAATATCCCGTGTTGATTAGCATATTTTTATTTCCGTTGAAATTTATAAACTAAACTTCCTAATTGCATATATAAATCTATATAAAATTTATAAGCAGAAAAGTTTTTACAAATTATTTCCGTGAAAACTTTCTATATATATAAACAAACTTTCTGCATATAAACTTTATATATATAAAGTCTATATAAAGAAACTTCATGTATAAAAAAGGCTATATATAGAAATTTTAATTATATATGTAAAATTTATATGTAGAAAGTTTCCACGTGAATAATTCATATAAAAATATTTCCGCTAATAAAACTAGGGAATCTAAAAAGAAGCAAAAACAAGAAATCTTGATATGTACAATGAAGACCACATAAATAAAGGAAAATGGAAAAATTGGAAAGAGAAGAATATATATGCTTGATACCTACCAAGAAAATTGCATAAAAATAAAGAAAAATATAAAAGAAAGAACGGATACCGCTCCATCGCGCCTCGTCTAAACCTCCTTATCCGAGTGATTCGCTAGATAATTAGTCGGCGAACGTTCGCTCACTAGCCATTTCGGAATGAGGGGGTACTGTTGAAGTGTCGTGAGCATTTTCAATCTAGGTTCATATAATCCGACTTCTTAAGATAATATTCTTAATATAGTGGTGTTTATCTGACTTTCTAATTAGCCTTAAATTTTTCTTCATGAAAAAATTTCATCCCTTACTCATATATGTGTTATTCGCAAGATATTACTATGCGAATGTCGCCTGTTATTATGGCCCGCCTAGCCGGTGGATCGCCTCTGCCCTAACCACCGCTCGGCAGCCCACCTCCTCTTCCTGACCATCTCATTATGTCAGTACAAACGTCATTCCTACATAGCCACACCTTGTAAGTAGACTCCGTCTTTGCCTTCTCTCTAAGACATGCCTCCACTCTCGTTCACCTCCTCTCTAGGAACGATATTCACCCTTGTCCACCTCTTACTAATACCAGATAACCTCCTGTCATAGGTTCGCATGTCCTTCACTTTATTTCACAGTCTTAATTGTTTCTATGCACGTAATTATAACAAATAGGACGTTCATCGCTGGAATACAGAGGAAGGGACTTTTATTGGGTTGGATCTCTAAATAGTTAAACAGTGATATAAGGATTTTTATTGTTACCTCATATGAAATGAAGTTAAGGCCCTTTTGATTTATAGAAAAAATGTAAAAAAAAACTTGGAGGATTTTAATCCTATAGAAAAAATTAATAAAAATGCTTTTAAAACCAGTGATTGAATTTCACATATAAAAGGATAATCCTATAGAAATTTTAAAGGAAAGTTTATAGGAGCTCTAACTTTTCGAAAGTTTCCTTTGAATCTATCTATATCATCCGATTCCCCTTTTTCTTCGGTCTATTCAAATGACCACTCCTTTTATTTTTTATGTGTTTTGCAATTACCACTATAGTATACGTCATCATTGCCGATTGGGAAGCCTTATCCCTGGTGGTTCTCTAACCAGCACTAAACTTGCACTGATGTGTTCCCCCAAGCCAAAAACAAATGGTCAACCTAAAGAATCAACTCGATTCTAAGAACAACTAACAACATTACACATCAAGGTCCTTCCCACGTCAGAACAAGCTATTCACATCGATTCAATTATTCAATAACCATCATCAATAACACCAGAGCAACCACATTACAGATCGAAATCCTTCCACCATTGCCATATTATACATTCAACAAATGAAGAACATCAGCACAAAATTGGAAGCATTGATGTCGCCGATCTCCTTTGTCGTCGTTGTCACCCTCAAGGTTGTTGTCATCGCCACTACTTGCTATGGAACCACTACAAGCTGTGTGAGAGGAGAGGTTGAGGCCATCGCCGTTGCTTGTTGTGGAATCACTGATCTCCTAGCGACCGGAGTCGTCGTTGGCCTCCCACTCAATCTGAAGGAAGAGATGGAGAGAAAAGGGGGGAGGGGGATAGAGAGGGAGAGAGCGGAGGAGGGTTGGGAGGTGCGGCAACTGAGACAGTGGAGGTAGGGAGAGCTCTAACATGTGAGACGGAGAGAGCCGAATGAAGAAGAGAAATTGGCATAGCACGCAGGAGGGGATAGATAGCTTTGCCTAGAGATGGGGTCGGACAACCTAAAAATTCTCTTCAGTCACATCAGCTCATTCCCATCAGTGACGGTTTATTTGAAAGACATGCATATGTGTCCCACATATCCTTGTCGATTTTTAAATAAACCATGCTAATATTAGTAGTGTCTATTATTTTAATGAATCAACACTGATAGTGGTAGTAGTGCTGGTTCTTGCGTGTAGAGGGTGCAGGCTAGGTGGGTGGATGGACTAGGTTTTCCTTAATCGGCACAGATATAGCAGTACGATTGTGATGGTTTGTAGTAGTGAATCATCAATTTTATACTTTTTTTTATCAAAATCTAATGTTTTCCTCTCTTTTTTCAATCCTGCCTTTCAAGAGCCCTAAAATGGATTTTAATTTCTGTAAATGTGTTCCAAAGAAGTCCTGAAGCCAACGATTTTCTTTTTCTAAAAAAACCCCCCTCTTATATGAAATGACATTTCAGAAATGTGGAAAAATATTTACATATGGGACGAATTTGTTGTGTGGAATTCCTGCATGTTTGCCAGTAGTACTGTAACTAATGGACGTTCTAGGCGCTGCTATTTCACGCCAAATTCAACAAGAATATACTACAGTAGCAAGAACGAACCGAGTAAAACTGGCTGGAGTTTTTCCATTTGCTCTGCGACGGCAGGTCGGCCGGCCAAACCTTTCTCTGTACTAATCTCTGTACTCCTTTCGTCTCAGACGCGTAACTCCAAAAATCGCATACCAAACAGCACGACGACGACGGCCAAACCGAGTTCATTTTTGCAACACAACAAATTTTGGTATCCTAATCAGGCACTTGAATTGACCAGCATTGCAGCAGCGTGCGTGATTAATTTGGACGGGAATGTGCCGACAGGCTAGCGAGATAGAGCTAGACCTGATGATGATCAGCCGATCAACATTCAACACATGAATCGTTCGTTTCTTGCATCGCGTTTATACATTTTTTTTTTGGCGTCCCTGCTGCATAAACAAACACAGAGCGATCGATGGATGGATCAGTTGACCTCTGACGAGTGACGACGCTTTCAGCTGCAGAATTTCCACATCAGCGATCCAATCATTCTGACTCGATCAGAGACGACAGATTGACTGCAGGCTCGCGCATCGCATGCATGAGAAAAGATGTTGACTTTACGATGGCGAAGAAACCTTAATTTGGAGGGTTGCAATAGCTAATTCGATCGGCCTAACCATTATGCCAACGGCAAAAACAAATCAAGGGTGGGTGCGAACTAATTAAATTAACCTCTGTTGAAGTTTTTTTTTTTTGGGTGATCTGAAGATCATAGCCTGACAGCTCTGAACAAGAATCAAACTATGACATGGATGGGTCACTTGATCACCTGGACTCAGAATACTTAATTAGGAGACTGTCACAGTGTCACTTGGGTCTGTCACTTAATTAGTCTTTTGAGACTGCAGCTTTCCTGAAACTACAAAGCCTACAGTGGCTGCAGGGAATCAGAGGGGGTCTGGGAAGTTGACCGGAAAAAGACCATTGGCATATCCATGTGTAGTGTATGTGCAAGTTATCTCAGCCCTCAAAACGAAGTGTTACTGTTCCATCTCGGGAAGCTATACTACTACTTAGGGCAAGGCTAATAATATAGCCGATTTGTTTACTATAAGGTTATTTATAGTTTTCTCTTAGCCTATACATATAATAGTTAGCTCTTCACAATTAATACAGGGCCCACTTGTCACTCCCACAGAGTTTCTTAGTTATTGTGTCCAAGCCGGCTGTAAGTTTACAGCTCGCTTCTCCTCTCTCTCCTCTCTTCTCTCCTCCACCTCAGCATTTAGCCGGCTTATAGCCTACTATTATACTTGCTCTTAGGGGGTGTTTAGATCCATAGGTGTAAAGTTTTTGCATGTCACATTATATATACGGACACACATTTAAAGTATTAAACGTAAACTAATGCTAGATGAATTTATTAAGCCTAATTATTTCGTCATTAGAAAATGTTTACTGTAACACCACATTGTCAAATCATAGAGTAATTAGGCTTAAAAGATTCATAATCTATGTAATTAATTATTTTTGTGTTTATATTTAATATTTCATGTATGTGTTAAACATTCGATATGACCGGGTGAAAAATTTTGCCAGAGATCTAAATAGGCCCTACATCTTCAGTTCTGGCTCGGACACGCATAAATGTGCTTTATTTCATCCCATCTCTCGGTGATGTTCCTGCAGCTATAGCAAAGAGCCCCTCTTTTTACAAGTTCGCTTTTCAGTCCGAGCTGGCAACTGCTGACGATCTGATCAATGCCATGGCCTGAAAAATTGTTAGGGGCTGTTTGGTTTCCAGGGACTTATTCTAAGTCCCTGTTATATCGAATGTTTGGACACTAATTTAGAGTATTAAACATACACTAATTACAAAACCCATTTCATAAGCTTGGACTAATTCGCGAGACGAATCTTTTGAGTCTAATTACGCCATGATTTTGACAATGTGATGCTACAGTAAACTTTTGATAATTATGGATTAATTAGGCTTAAAAAATTCATCTCGCGGATTAGCTCATTTATGAAATTAGTTTTTTTATTAGTCCATATTTAATACTCTAAATTAGCGTCCAAACATCCGATGTGACATGGGCTAAAAAGTTTTAGCCCCATCTAAACACCCCCTTAACCTCCACCTCCGTCACAATCTGCATCATCAAACCAGCACATCTAATTAAATCTTGGATCAGTAGTGTTGGAACAAGTCGATCCATTTTTTCAACAGTGGACAAGGTGATCTTGAGGCAGGTTGCAGATTGGATGGATGTTTGGGTTGTAGAGCAGTGATCTTCACATTATAGTGTTGTATTGGCCAGTACATCTTTTATAGTGTTGTATTGGCCTATCATTTAGACCATTGAACCATGGAACAACACTATAAAAAAAAGAGAAATTTTACGGTTCTTAAGATATTAAATGAGAAATTTTACGGTCCTTAAGATATTACCTTAAAAATTTTACTTAGTACCTTGAGGTACTTAGTGTCTAGAGGTACCAAGTTTTATAGTAGAAAATATGGTATCTCTAGTCACTTCTCAAAAATGATAAAAATTACCCATAAAAGATCCACACATACAGAGTAGGATCTTAACGAGAGTTAGAGTACCCTTTTCCTGGTCAATAATGTACATTCGACAAAGGTTTTGCATGTTTCGCAACAACACAACAATGTATATTCAACTTAAAAATTTTATTGTTTTCGCAACGCCATTTTGACCCTTACTTTTTCATAGATTAATACATTATGATATAATCTTTCAAAAATACATAATAATAGATAGTTATAATGTTATAAAAGCTTTTTTTCTGAAAAACATTAGATACATCTAATGTCGGGAAACTGATGAAAAAATTGCATTTTTCTGTGAGTTTTTATTTTCGAGTATTTCCGACAGTTAACCTTTGTACAAGAATATATTTTCTGACGGTTTCTTACCCTCAAGAAAGCTCCGAAGTCTGGTAGTATACAGTTCTAAATATTTTGTGATCAAACTTTGAGATGCTTAACGGCAAAGATTCTAGGCATCAAATAAGAAAAACAAAGAGAAGCTAGTAGGTTCCCTATATAGTCTCCACACTTGACAAGCTGACTTGATCACAGCTCCTAGGTTCTACAAACAGTTGACGACGCATGTGGAGAAGGCCGGCTAAGTGGGTTTATATATCGATCTATTCACATATGCCTAACATCAAGTAGAATTAATTTATGTTATCATCATATTTTTTGTCCTATTATAATTCGAGGGGAACAGCGATGGGATATAGTAGGGAGTGATACTTGATAGATGTAAATGATCAAAAAGAAAGGAAGGAGAAAGGTGGTGACACCCCAGTTGGCTTTCAATTTCATGTCAATAACACTAATATATACTATTTCTCAACTAAAAATTGTTAGAGAGGATGGAAACTAGTCTCAAAATATTCTAACATATATTTCTTGATTTAAAACTAGTAAATATTCTAGATCAGAAGGGAATGGTCATATAGAGAATAAATCCTATGCTAGTCATGAAAAGATCCCATGTCATGATGTTTAAATTCGATCTCCATTAGTTCTACATGTGACAATCCTGTGACTTAGCAGAGGGTGCGATATTTTTTCTGTTATTTGTTACTACTAATCTCTATTTTTCTTAACGATTGCAAATTAACCTAGCTTTGGAGATTAGATTCCCTCCAGATACCAAGTATCTCTAATGTTTTGCTTAGTCGTGAGAAGTTATGGTTGAACTGTTGGAAATCAGATTGTCAAAAGAAATATATGTTTTTTAATAATGAAAATACACTAGCACAAATTCTTACAACTGTAACGAGCCATCTGTAACGGGTCTAATAAAACCATTACAAATTATGTCATCTGTAATGGACGACATAGGCAGTTGTTACAGATGACCAAAACATTCTTAAACCGTTACTGAAGCCCCCTTATCTATAATGGCTCCTAACCGAGAACCGTTACATATCTAATCCCTTTTATCTCTAACGGCTTTCAACTAGGAGCCGTTACGAATGACTACTCATCTGTAATGGCTCTCCATTAAGAATCGTTACAGATGTCAGCCCCTCATCTGTAACGCCTTGATTTCAGGAGCTGTTACAGACTCATTTGTAACGGCTTTTCATTAAGAGTCGTTACAAATGTCAACCCCTCATCTGTAAAGGTTTCATTTTAGGAGCCGTTATAGATATATCCCTCATTTGTAGCATCTCCAAATCGAGAGCTATATATAGATAACTTCTAGGTCTACTTCACTCCAACTTAAATAAAAAATAAAAATTACAGCCAGTCCCCAACTCCCTCACTTCTCTCATTTTTCCTTAATCTATCCCCCATCTCTTTCTTGTTAATGTGGTTGACCGGCGACGGTCAAGGGTGGTGGTTTGGCAGGGCTGGTGCAGGTGACGACGGTTGATGGGGGCTCGGGCACAGCCAAGGCCATGGCTACGGTAGCGAGGGCGCCAGCGGTAGACCCCAACGGTGATGCGTAGAGGGCCAGCCTTGGGACCGCCGGATCTGATGGCAGGCGGCGATCGGTGAAGGCTCGGTGACGATGGCGCATCAAGCTAGCTTTTGGCGGTGGACCTTGACAGCGGCGAGCGTGTCTCTGCGAGGAACACTATGATGATCCTGCCCTCGCCGACCACCACCAACGTGAACCCACCCGTCATCGCCTCCATGATATCCTCCTTGTCACCCCGGGCGCACCACCCTTCCCCTCTCCCGCTCCTCCATGCCACCACAACGTTGATATCGACGCCGTTGACCTACCGTCGTGCAACAGCCATCGGTGGCAGGAGACCATCAGTGGGGATGAAGGAGGGGATGAGTTTTGTTTTTTTTTAAATATGAATTTTCACATATGTAACAGCTCATGAGCCTAGTTTTCTTTTTTAAAGATAAATTTTCACATATGTAACGGTCTACGTTTTTAGCCGTTATAGATAACTTTTATCTGTAACAGCTAGATCGCCGTTACATATGATTCTCCACATCTATAACTGTTGGGTTGTAACGATTGGTCCAACCATTATAGATGTGAGTTTTAAGCCGTTACAGATGTAGTGTCCTGTGCTATCACTTTACATCTCCGATTTCATTCGACAAACACACAAACAAGGATGATGTGACACATTAGATGTTATTTTGGTATTTATGCAAGTTTATACCCTAATCAAAAATTCCTACCAAACTACCATAGACAAAGTCAAAGCTAGTCCAGCCCCATCTATTCATCCACTTTGATCCTTTTGGAAGTCCAAGAGGCAATTTACAAATTAACTGCACAGACACAGAGACTTGCTGGAGACTGGAGCTCGCAGCAAACAGCCGTGGCATATCAGCCACACATAATTTCTTGCTTTGCTTTCTCTCTGATCACCGAGTTGAGAGCGAAGTAAAATGGTTGATTAGTCGCAACCATGTCACTGCTCAGAAGCTCATCCATTCCATCCATATATACATCCTACTACCTCTCCTACTGATGGATGGATTAGTAAAATCATCAATAGGCCGCCCCCGTTATAAATAGCCGGCGACACCAACTCCGTGCAGCTCTCTCTTCTATCTACCCTCTCGCCACCGTCCTTGTCTTCTCCCGGGTTTCTCCTAACCCTAGCTGATTCGAGGAAACCCTAGCGAGAGATGCAGCCGACGACGCGGGAAATGCAAGCCATGGCTGCGGCGGCGGCGGCGGGCCAGATCTCCCTGGACGACCTCCGCAACGGCGGCGGGGTCGCCGCCAATGCCGGCGGCGGCGGCGGCGTCCACGACGACTTCCTCGACCAGATGCTCAGCAGCCTGCCGCCCTCGGCGTGGCCCGACCTCGCCGCCGGGAAGGCGGCCGAGGACGACGCCGAGGGGATGCATCACCACCACCACCAGCAGCAGCAGCAGTTTGGTGGGCCGTACGACGAGTCGGCGATGCTGGCGTCGCGGCTCCGGCAGCACCAGATCAGCGGCGGCGGAGGAGGAGGCGGCGGTGGCGCGGCCGCCGTGAAGCAGATGGTGCTGCAGCAGCTCGCCGATCTGAGGCAGGGGCACCACATGATGCTCCAGGGCTTGGGGGGACGGTCGCCGGCGGGGGGCGGCGGCGGCGGCGGCGACGGGGGCCTTCTCCTCCCGCTCACCCTCGGCAGCGGCGGATCGGGCGGCGACGTGCAGGCGTTGCTCAAGGCCGCCGCGGCCAATTCCGCCGTACTGATTCATCCATCCATCCATCCATCCATCCCCCCTTTGCTCGCATCCACCTGCTACCTTTTCTTCTTCAACTTTCAAGAATCAAGAATCTTTCTCTCTTTTGGCCCAAAATAAAATTCCTGCGTTTTGATTCGCTCCCGATTGTTCGTTCCAGGGAGGAGGAGACGCCGGCGGCGTCTACGGCGGCGGATTCGCCGGCTCGCTCCATCAACAGCAGCAACATTTCCAGCCACATCCACAGGTTCTAATTAATTCGCTCGCTGACATATCACATGGCTCGCCTCGCCTCAAAACGCTCAAACACAGACCATGTGTTTGCTTACAGACGGCGCCGACGATTCCGACGCAGAGCTTCGGCGGCGGCGGCGGCGGAGGAGGAGGAGGAACCGCGTCAGGCGGCGGGGCGGCGCAGCCTCAGGCCGGCGCGGCTGGAGGAGGCGCGCCGGCGCCGCCGCGGCAGCGGGTGCGGGCACGGCGAGGCCAGGCCACCGACCCCCACAGCATCGCCGAGCGGGTAAGCAAGATGACGCTAGCTAAGCTAAGCTAAGCTAGCTCCACCATCACTAGCACAGTACTACTACTACTACACCGAAACTTAAAAATAAAAATATTTTGTCCGGCAATTAGTCGGGAGAACAAAACCACGGGAGCAGTTGCCGCTAATCGGCGCCCGTGTGCGCTTGTTTTTTTGCTCGGTTTGGATCGGATTCCGGCCGGCCGGCTGGCTCCCCAACTACCAGTATTATTCCTTTGTCTGCTTCTCCAACCTACTATTCTCCTCCTCCTCCTCCCTTGTTGTTCTTATGCGAGATTTCACTAGCTCCTACATACCTCTTCCATTGTTCTAGATTATTAGTGTTCCAAAAAATTATCTAGTTGATTTTAGTTATCGATGTTTCGCAGCTTCGGAGGGAGAGGATCGCCGAGAGGATGAAGGCACTGCAAGAACTGGTTCCCAACGCCAACAAGGTGAGCAAGCTAATCACAACCAAAGATTGAATTAAACGGCTAGGGTTTTGGCTTTGTGGGAGGAGAAAGGGGATCGAGCTCGAGCTACTCCAGCTAGCAATATCTCAATCAGACCGCGGGGTGTGGGGTTTTGCTGATTTTATTAGTGTTAGGGTTCAATGCCGGATTGCCGGGAATGGATGGATTAATAAAAGCTTAATTTAAAAAATACAGTCGAGGCCGCCTCAGCCATGAACATCAGTGGAGAAATTCAAAAGAAAAAAAGAATGGGAGTAGTCGTCCTCGTTTACCCGCACGCTTGCGCGCACGATGGGCGTCGTACTTGACCACCGCCGTGCTGTCTCGGCAGCCGCGCGCGGGCGGATGCTTTTGCTTTGCTTTCTTCCTCCTAGAATTCCTGCCCTTGTCGCGCGCGACGGACGACGCTCGCTTTCTTTTCAGTTCCCCATTTGAGATTAACCTCTTCGTGAATTGCTCATCTCATCTCAAGTGTGTGTGTGTGTGTGTGTCTTTCTTGGAGTTGATGCAGACGGACAAGGCTTCCATGCTGGACGAGATCATCGACTACGTCAAGTTCCTACAACTCCAAGTCAAGGCAAGCACGTACACTAAATTACTAATACATGTAGTACAGTATTAATCTGTTTTTAGTTCGAGATACTGACGTGTATTTTTTTTTTTTGGTGAACAGGTTTTGAGCATGAGCCGGTTAGGTGGCGCCGCAGCCGTCGCGCCGCTCGTGGCCGACATGTCCTCGGAGGTAACCCTCGTCCTCCGCTAGCTCGCTCTCTCGGTCTCTCCAACATGGCAGCAGCAGCAGCAGCAGATGGTGGCTTTCTCTCCTCCTCCTCCTCCTCGTCGTCCTCCTCCTCCTCTCGCTTTCTCTCTCTTTCTAGCTTTTCCGGCACTCGAAAGAATCACCAGGATGTGAACGAACTTTTCAGTGCCACGGCTGATGGCTACTGCCACGCACAGTGGCTCGCGTGCCACCGGGCGAAATGCCGCTACTGCCCTTAGTGCCACTGCTGCTGCTGGCATGGCAGCTGCATGCGTCTCTGACGACGACGACGACGACTCGGTACTGACGTGTGGGGTCGTGGTGCTGTGTTGCGCGTGCAGGGGCGAGGCGGCGGCGCGGCGAACGGCGGAGCACCGGCGGCGGCGGGGAGCGATAGCCTGACGGTGACGGAGCAGCAGGTGGCCAAGCTGATGGAGGAGGACATGGGCACCGCCATGCAGTACCTGCAGGGGAAGGGCCTCTGCCTCATGCCGATCTCCCTCGCGTCCGCCATCTCCTCGGCGACGTGCCATCTCCGGCCGCCGGTGGTCGCCGCCGCGCAGCAGTTCCCGGCCGGGCTCGGCGCCGCCGCTGCCGCCGCGCACCACCACCAACTGAGCGCGGCGGCGGCGGCGGCGGCCATGCGCGGACACCTGCCCGGCCTGAACGCCGACGGCTCCGTGCCGGCCTCGCCGAGCATGTCGGTGCTCACGGCGCAGTCGGCCATGGCCAACGGCGGCGGGGGCGCCGCCGACGGCGAGGGGTCGCAGCTCAAGGACGCCGCCTCCGTCTCCAAGCCGTGAACCGGTGGCCGCCGCCGTCTCTAACTAACGGCGAAACCCTCGACGGCGTCGGAGTCAACGGAGTCAGCGGATGGTCTCGCTGCTACTTCGCTCGCTTCCACGGCCCACATCTGCAGGGAAACGGGTGGGCTCCCACGGGTGGGCCCACGCACTCTCCTGAGGGCCCACGGGCCTATGGCCCACCCGCGGCTGCAGCGAGCGACGGGGGCTCCTCCTTTTGTTTTTCTTTTTCTTTTCTATTTCTTCTTAGTGTTACCATTATTTCCTATCTTTCTTTCTGTTAAATATTTATTTAGCTTGTTGTTTAATTTAAGTACATAGTAATCCAGGTCTGGTTCTTCTGGCTTTGTACCAGCTTTAGCCTTTCTTTCCTCTCCATCTGCATCAACTTTTCCTCTCTCCTTTCCCTTTTCTCCCCTGCTTTGCTTGGCCCAACTTTTCGTTTAGTTTACACACAAGTTTGTCCTTTGCGGTTGGAAGGGAATTTGGTCTCCTTGCTTTAGTTGCTAACCTAGTGTCATTCAAATTTTTATTCCCAAATATGTTTTCAATGCATCCCCGGTACTCTTCCCTTCTTTCAGTTCTTTTCGATTATTATTTATATTTCCTCTTTCAAAAAAAAAATATATAGCTCCCATTTTGGAGTTGTTTGGTTTCACCAATAAGAATAATATATAGTTGTGTTCTCGTGATTAGAGATACTACTCTACTCCATCCATTCCATCATATTTTGAGTTTGTATCCAGTCAAACTTCATTAAGATTAACTCACTTTATACAATAAGGTTATACTATTTTTAACACAAAACAAATGCACTATAATAAAATATATGATGAATTTAATGAAACTAATATGATATTTAGGTGTCACTATGTTTTTTTATGTATCTTCATCAAACTTGAATAAGTTTGACTCAGTATAGACCTAAAATGACCAATAATATGAATCAAAGTGAGTAGATCAAAGAACTAATTTGCCGTTGTAATTGTAGGTGCAAAGTTTCACTGATGTAAATCGCCTGCCTATAAACATATGAACAAGTGATTTCGATTCAGTAGAAATTTTATTTATGGAACCCTAGCCTATCTCAGACTGGATGAGAGTATATATGAGTTGTGCTTCCATCTTCATTTGCAAACGGAAAAGGGTGTCATTCTAGAATCTTATGTTGCTGAGATTATTAATTGAGTGATCTAGAACTAATTAATGTATCGTGTTAATCTGACTACGAAAATAGACGGCATGAGGGGACGGCTGAAATTGGTTATGGAAGTTTCTTTCTGTTTTTCTATGATGAAAAGGAATCCAAGTGGGCTGACCATATGATGACTCAAAAACGAGAGCAGTCAGTGCTGGGTCATAGAGATGTATCATATGAAGTCTGCAGATAATCTTCATGCAAATCCAGTTTTGAACTACGTGGCAATTCCTTTGGAAGATTTGAGAAAAAAGAAATAATAAACAAAGCAATGTGAAATTTTCCCACTCTTTGGGTGGGTGGGTCAATGGTACCTTATTATGTTAGGAACTTTGGATATGTGATCATGTGAGGAGAGCAATTGATGGTCCAAGTTTAAGCCATTCATGGAAAATTAAATTGTTTTCAAGGGTGTAATGATATTATTTCCATGTTTTTTTTATTTCAGAAAATTAAGAATGAGTAATATATCTCCTGCCTCTACACTTAGTACACCCATGCATATCCAATTTCCATGAGGAATACAAATAAAAAGTTTAAGAAGACCAAACGAGCCAATTAGAGGTAGCTAAGAGCTGTATAGTCTAAAATTCTTAATTTTACTATTTGTGACAACTTCATTCACATAGCATGTTCCTCGCCTGTTGCCCGTGGAAATAGTTTTTGCAGATGGTTGATTTTACGTTTGTAGAAGTAGCCATTTTTTTCATGCTCTAAGACTATCCCAAAAACTAGTGGACGGATCCTGTGGGACATGATACTACTTAATAAGAACAACCCAGATGAGTTTCTTCTTCCCCGGATCTGTTTTCTCATCCTCCTTTCTCTCCGACTCATTATTTTTGTCGTCCACCTTGCTCCCTCCCTCAACTCCTCCGCTCCAATCAATCCCGCCTCCCTTTGCCGGAGGACTGACCGCCATTATCCCCAACACTGATGGCATCCCCCATCCTCTTCTCCCTTTCCTACACCACATCAGTGGGCATGTAGAGTCCAACGAGGTTATTTAGTTGTTGGAATCGGTGAAGTTAGCAAGGAGGGAGGTATCTGCGGCAACGAGGTCGCCATTTGTCGTGGCTGAGGAGGTAGAAGAGGGAGGAGGCGAGGCCGAGGGGGATGAGATCAGGGGCACCAGTGATAGAGTAGAGTTAGAGTCGGTTGTTCTCAGTGTGAGGGCAATCTTGGAGTTCATGCAGATCTCGAGGTTGTCGCATCATACTAAGTATCAGGCCTACTACCTAGATACCAACCAGTACCATAGGTCCCATGTACCAGGTGCAAGGAGGAAGCGCAAGATCGCCGGGTCGGCTAGTGAGCCCCTTGCTGTCATCTCCTATCATCTTCTCCCTTCCTCTCCTCAACAATATGCTCCCTCCCTTTCCTTTTGTTGATGTGCATGGCGAGACACAAGGAGAAAAGAAGTACAACTGCTATTCGCTTGCACGTGAAAGCTCAGCTAGCTAGACAGTGGAAAGGAAGGGGGGGGAGAAGTCACTTAATAAGTCCCGTCCTCTAGTCTCTCTTAGACTATAGGTGGCTTGCTTTTTTAAAAATAGATTACCAACCAAATGTAAAATTATTTTCTGTACTCATGTTTTTTTTCTACAACGTTTTTTATTTTTCGGACTATATTATATATTATATGTTTGATTTATCCTACTCATCGCGATGACACATATTACTACCGATGGCATATAGCTTGAGGCTGTAAAAGTAACCATGTGTTTTAAATCGATCTTGATGAAGACCACCGGATAGACATACAGACGAAAGTGGGATCCAAATGTTCATCTCCATATGCAAGGATGGCTTCGTCTATGAAAAGGATAACAAGATGTTCATACATCACCATATTCCCCTCCTATCATATCCAAACTAGATGCGCATACAACACCTCTTCAGATATTTTCCGCCCTTTTCGGGGAAGATTTGTACGTATTGCACGATATAAATTGCATGCATATATACATACTACTCCTTCTATCCTAAAATATAATAACTTTTAACCTTTATAACTTGTTCCAAAACATAACAACTTCTGTACTAATATTTCTTTCTCAACCAATCACAATCCTTCACCATTCAATATTTTCACTTATCATTACTTCTCAACCAATTACAATATTCCACAATTTAATTCTATCTATTTTCATAATAACCGGGTCTGTTTGGTAGAGTTCCAATTTCTAAATGTAGCTCCAGGAGTTGGGTTTGGAGTGGAGTTGTGGAGCTGCCTAAACTCAGCTCCACCTCTCTAGTTTATTTTGTGAGAGAGGTCCACCCAGCTCCGCTCCTATTTTTTTTAGGTGGAGCTGAAACTGTTTAGTTGAGCTCCAGCACCATGAGAGGTGGAGTTGGAGCTGGAGCTATGCCAAACAGGCCTACCGTGTTTAACTCTATAACTTATTATGTTTTAGGACAGAGGCAGTACACGCTTATCACGTTGACGTTTTCTGATAAAATATCTTTTGCATACGTGTTGACCTAATGACCTTGCAACCTCTTGCTGCCAGTTTTTCTTTGCTTTGCTTTGCATGCGCACCACACAGAAACTGCGTCATGTGCCCCAGCTGCTTTCTACTACTCGTACGTTGAAATTTAACAGGTCAAAACATCAACAAGAATCAGGCAGCTAAAGCTCCTACTGATCGACCGACCGACCGTGACGTGTGGTCGGTCCAAACGGCAGCTAGAACAGAGGTCAATCATAAGTTAACAATATCACAAGCGGATGTATATGGCACGCACAAGTATTGCGTGTGCACTTGAAAAATAGCAGGCTACTAAAGGACGTCCTACACCACTAGTAAAATACTGTACTACCCAGAATATAGAATGTTATAGTGTTGGACATAGGTATTAAAACAGGTAAAATTGATTGAGAGAGTTCTGATATGGTTGAAAAAAAGAAAGTAGATGGAAAATTTAAATGATGAAGGGTTGTGATTAGTTGAGAAGAAAATATAGGCCACTCATTTGTACCAGAAGCAGACAAAGATACTACCACCAATCTGAAAGTGGATTTTTATCCTTTAATTGAGCATCCCCTCCTATGCATGTTGCTCAAAAAATCATCAAACTTTTTTTAAAAAAAAATCAACATGAAATATATCATTCCACAAATCATGTGAATTCCAATTCAACATACATAAGTAGAAATAAAAATAATTAATTTCATTGCGAATGTGTAAATTTCACCGAGAATAGTACATATTTGCAGTAAAATTTGTTATTTTTAATTCTACTTGTATAAGTTGAATTTGAATTTGCATGTTTTAATGACATATTTCATATTCATCTATAATACTTTTTTTCAAAAAATTTAATAGCTATTTAAGTGGCATGAAAAACAAATGGATGTTCCTTTAAGGGATAAAAATAGTTTCCACACTGACCTAGCTACCTCACCATTCACTACTTACAAAAACTTTGGGTAGCTAACCTAGCTAGAATCTACTATAGATTGCTGAAGTTGAAAACTTTGGCACATGCACTACTTCTCCCAAGTCCGAAATTTTAGTTCCCAGCTGGGAGATCAGATCAGTCGTCGTCGTGCTCGGATGCTTGGGGCCCCGTACGTTGACTGCGCCACCATTGCCACCGGAGGAGAGGGCCGGCCGGCGCGTGCAGAAGATCTCTGATCATGTGTGTCACCGGCCAAAGCCGCCATTGCCATGTCAAAGCCCCTAATAATTACACCATGGAGTGCGAGGAAAGTCACTGATCGATCGATCGATGATGCCAGCTGCTAGTGGGTGTTGAGTAGCCAGTACTCATCAGCCGCGCGCGACCTGTCAATCCATCGATCGATAGATACGATACGCAGCTTTTAGCTAGATAATTAAGTCCCAAAATACTTATCGTTTTAATTTTTTTTTCAACGTTTAAACATTCTTCTTATTCAAAAGATTACGGAGTTATTATTTATTTGGTTTGCTTTATTATTGAAAGGACTTTAAGTATAGCTTATCCTTTTTATATTTGCATTATCTTTTTAAATAAGACGAATAATCAAATGTTACAAATAAAAAGTCAAAACGACCTCTAATTTAGGACGGAGCCAGAAATTAACCCAGTCGCGATCGACAACGACATAGATGAGCATGCAATCAGTGATGGTGATTAATTAATACTAATTGTCTAGTAATACAGTAGTGATATATAGTTATATACTCACCTACTTAAGCGGCTGACTCCAGTAACAATGCACGCG